TAACACTCTGTGATTTATCAAATGACACTTTCGCCAATGCCACCATCTCTCGAAATTCTAACTTTGACACTTCCACATGGGGGTTCTTTTGAACGAATTTCTTCTTACCTTCTGTACCCAACGCCAGGAATAGTCTGGAAGCGACTCTTTTCTGTACCTCGTGGTAGTATACGTTGTGACCAACCTTTGGACCTCTAGCTCTTCTTTCTTCATTTTCCAGGTTAATTTTATCTCTAGCTAGTTGATCTCTGGCTTCTCTATCAACAATCGCCTGTGCATTTTCGTTTTCCCTTGGAGTTTCGGGTCTTGGTAATTGTTCCAACAGAACTTCTTTTGGTTCTTGTAACAAAAGTTCCGGGTCCACGCTCTTCTTCACGGTCACTGCCAAAAAACATTGATCTAGCCATATCCTAAAATTCCAGGGAGGGTCAGAGTTCGCGGTTGTCAAAAATACTGGAATCCCCATGTCCGTTCTGTTGTCTTGGGACAGGAATCCTGCTGACTGCGCCATGTGATAACTGTTGAATTAACTCAAGTATTTGTAAAACAGAATAAGTAAAACGTTTCAATTTAGACTGCTAACTTGTCTTATTTTAGATCTGAGATCATGCCTGTCTTTTCATGTCTCTCTATCAACAGCAATGTCCTAACTGACTATTGCGTTTGGCCTGCAATGAACGGCCTTGAATAATAATAACAATACATAACAGAATAATTAATAGCACTATTCTCAGAGGTTACTGTGGCAGCAGTACTACACGGTACCACATGTGTATATCACATTATATACGTATTGATTTCCAATTTAAGTAGATTTTTTCCTGTATTTAGTTATCCCGATTTTATAATGGTTTGAAATTTGCCATTTTGTACGTATGCATTTTAGCATGATATGTTTTCTTGTCTGTATGTTGGAGTTTTCCGATGCTCAGTCAAAAAAATATTCTCAATCACATTTAGCCTAAGCTCTAACAAAATTAGGATTGTTCGCGTCAAGTCATAACACGGAAAGTTTTATTGGTTTCATTTAAGAAATGTGCTATAGTTTTTGAGCTGCTCTAAATATTCAATCAAAATTGCTCTGTGACAACACGCACTACGATTCATTAGTAATGTTTTTAATGCATACCACTAAGTAAAGTTTAATTTGATTGGTGGTTTATGCTGCGAACTTTCTAAGGAGTAGGGGAAGCTTAGGTGAACCGTAGTTTTTCAGAAATAAGTTATGATTCTCGGAATAGCATTTCTGGCTAAGTGTTTTAAGTACTATCTGAAATAAGTCAATGAGCTCAAATTTAAACAAACGTTTACTATTCCGCATATGTGATTGAATTGGTTTTAAAGTTTGCTATTTTAGCCAATCATTTTTGACCCATCTTTGCGCGCCTTCATTTGAATTTTTTCCTAACGTAAAAAAATTTTCCAACGAATATTCAGCATTTAATTCACACTTAAGTTAGTTCAAACGGAAAAAAGTACTCGATTTTTGGTATCAAGCCAAAACTCCCAAAATTTGAAATGGTTTTTATGTCTTAGTTTTCTGTAGTTTGCTCTCGAATGCTTGTATCAGGCCAAAACGCTGAATATTCGAACTGCTTTCATTATGTAGTTGGCTGTTTTCTATAATTTACGTGATAAATCCCCCCCCCCCCAAAAAAAAGCAGAGCCAGCCACAGATTGATTGATTTCTCTTCTAGCGAGCAGCTACATAGAACAAGACTGCTCGTATCAGGGCAAAGCTCTGAACGTTTTGACTGCCTCTTTAGGTCTACTGAGCAGGAATAACACGAAAAAATTAAACAAAATAAAATAAAACGAAATGTCCCCCCACACAACATATGGAGTACAAAATGATAAATTTCGCTCCTAGTACAAACCAATTATGGCAAATAAGCAAGCTTCCTTTAACCAATTTGGTACGATTTCTGAGACGGATAAAATCTCCTCTTACGCGTTAATAGCGCGAAATATATCGCGCGTTAATTGTGCCAAATTGGCCAAATTGACAATCTTTAAACCCTCAAATTTTATGCAAAATGATACCAGGTAAAGTATATTTCCAAATTTCACTTTAGAACAACAATACCTTTTGAATGATATAAAAAAAAAAAGTTCCGTCAAAAATGGCTAGTTAAAAAGTCGAATTTTGTCTGAAGAAAAAAAAACCCCACCCTGAGCACAAATATTCCGTTTTTTTTTCGTTGCGAAAGTCGGAACAAAAATTAAATTAGGTCACTACGAATTGGAATTCTTCAATTTGCCCTACGCGCTTCGCGTTGACAGATAATTGCTATACAGTTCGCATAAACTATCCCAAACTGGCTCTTTCACGCCCATATAAGTTTATGCAGATGAAATTTCACCCAAATTTTTTTTGAATGTGATCTCAAGATATCTATCTTTCAAAATTATCCAAAAACTTCCAGAACGGTCAATTAACAAAAACAGCACGGTAAGTTCCGACAAGAATTAAGAAAAAAAGGAAAGATCTTCTTTTTTTCAGTTTCAAATCATTTTTTGTTCGTGGTGTGAGGAGAATCTTCGAATAAAAACCTAAAAATTAGACATGTTTGATAACAAAAGTAGTTAGGCAGATTTGACTGGTGTTTTCTTAGAAGAAAGAAGAGAAAAACAAAAATTACTCAAAACTTTTTGTATCAAACCGAGAACGCACTAAAAGAAAACTCGAAAACTAATTGTATAAGCAGTAAAACTAAAGTTCTACGGCTTTAAAAAATGCAATGCCCAAAAAAGCCAGCTTGTTTGTTTTATTTGCTCAAAATTAGATAAAAAATCAAAAAAAAAAGAAACTGGTTGTTTTTGACAATGAGAAATTTTTTTGTAAGTTTTTACTTTTGATCGAATCACAACTGAAAGGGATTCGAATTTATACATGTTTTTCCGTGGATTATTTGTGGAATATTTTTTTGCATCACACTTGATGACGAAGTTTTCCCCATACTCAATGGTTGAAACAAAAATTTGAAAAGGACCTGTATTAACAAAACATTGATCTAAACAAAATTGATTTAAAAACCTGAAAATAATGAAAGTAATGTTCTTTCTAAAAGCAAATAAATGATCCTAAAAACGCAAATTACAAATTCAAGCCAGAAAACTGATTTAAATATTCTGATCTCAATGAATAAAAACTGAAAATCGAAATAGACTTTCTCCTAAATTTGACTAACTCTAGACAGTAAGAAGCACTGACGACAAAATTTCGTTAAAATTTTGCGAGAAGTTTAAAATGCATTTTTTCAATTTGTCGATTCAAAATTTACCCTCAAAATAGGCCATTTTAAGCTCGTTTTACTTGATCAAAAGTTGAGCTAAAGTTGCCCGGTCACTTTTTGAAATTTTAAACTGAAAATTAGACTTTTTCTTACCGAGCTGGACGAAGTTTAGAAATCTTTAAGATGTAATAATTTGATTGAAGATTTTTTTGTTGCCTGATAACCAAACTGAACCAATTTTACCATATAAAATGGCACACTTTCTTAAAATCAATTTAACAAGGTTTTTGTTACAGTTTCTGGTGCTTGGCGAAAGGCACAAGATCGTTTAATTTAAATCGTTGTTTTTGCTTATTTCTTGATTCTCTTGATTAATTCATCCGAGCCAAAAACCCAGATGTTTAAGGTAAATTAGTTTTCGATATTTGCAAAATATTACACAATATTGTTTCAGAGTAAATTCTGAGCAAATTTTTCTTTGTCATTTTTTGTCTAAGAGTAGCTCATTTTGCGCAAAAATGCTTGAAATCTCAAGTTTTTTTTAAAAAAAATTGTTCGTTTTGTTAAAATCAGCATGCAGCTGACATTGCCTGAGAGCTGATTTAGAAACATGAAAGCTGTTCTAGGTGTATTTTTTTCTTAAAAAACCACAATTATTTTAGATTTGCAGGATAAAGTGTTCAAGGGCTTCGTTTTGATAAGAGCAGTCTTGCTGGACTATCATCATGTATTTGACTAAAAGTCCTTTTTTTTATCGGAGCATTGTTTGCCGAGGAAAAAGGCTGACACCATTTTGTATGAAATTGTGTTAAACACTTTTTGCATAGCAGCAAAACTTTATTTTGCGCATAGAGCGTAGCAACATCAGCTTTTTTTCTTCTTCTTCTTCGCCATTATAGCACCCCATCCTCAGTTTATAGGCACCAAATTGGAAAATATGAATTGCTCAGGGCTGTAATGTTTCGTTTGAAGCTTAGGGTGTAATGGGAAATACCCGAATAGTAATCCTAAATCAGAACTTTAAAATCCTTCGAGGACACTGAATGAACAGGTTCTGCAGCAGCAATTGAAGCATTAAAAGTGAAGCGACACCAAATTAATCTTTTTTTGATACTTTTTCCAAACCACAAAAAAAGCAAATATTCTTTGCCTCACATGATAGTTATTTTTTCAGCATTGTGCTGTTTTGTAAATATCAATATATCATTTAACCTGAGCGTGCTAGCCTGGTTTGGTTGCCGCTTAGCAACACTAATTGCCCCGCGGCCGTACCAATTCAGCCCAGTCTCTTCTGGTGAGCTCCCTGATCTACCATTGTGTCTGTACCTTCAGTGTCAAATGCAGTAATTGAGCTGCCAAAAAGAATCCATTCAGTGTGCAACTAGCAGCTACTCCATTTAGCCGAATGGGCTACAAGCAGAGTATCAGGACTTAGAACTGAAGCATCATAAACATAAAGAGAACAAAACTATGACCAAAGTTTTCCATCAAAGTTTTCATTGTAGTATAAAAAAAATAAACTTCCGAAGGATTATGCATATACATGTAAGAAACTCTTCGGCGAAAGTAATGTTTCACCAATTAGATTTTGGATTGAACTGCACAGGGAGAGATTAGGGGAGGGAAAGGGCATAATGGAAATGTTCTTGTAACTTTGGCAAGGTATGATAGTTGAGCCAGTTTTGAAACTGGACTAAATTGTATCCAAGATGGATAATCTCAATCATGACGCATTTGGCATACATTGTGAAGTAACAACTGAAGCGGCCCCTTTTGCCACGCCGGCAACGCGGCAATCTGCTTCCCCGCGGATCACTTGTGGCGGCTGGCCTGCACGCATTTGCATAGTCTCTTCGCTGCTTACCTTTGTTTCCAATTTCCCGTTCCTAATTTTTGACTACCCTACAAGCGATCAATCTATTTTGTGTCCCGTGCTCACGTCTGCTGTCTACCATAGAAAAGTTAGTGCTATGGCCCTTTTTGCACCCATCCATCCCCAACGGTCCAATTTCTCAAATTTATTTGCATATTGATATGCGATTTCTTGTTATAATAATTACTTGTTCAATAATACAATGCTGTGAAATATTCTAATCACTATCGTCTAACTATATCATTTTTGCCTCTTTCAAAAACAATTGAAAAAGTGAGAAAAAATTGCACTTTTTGTATTTTGTAACCAACCCCTCCTTTGGTACCAAGTTAAAAATCTCCGTGCTTATGGGAAACTAATTCAGTAGTCAACCTTTTCCCGTTTTTATTTGAGTGGCTGCGAACATTTCTTTTAATACTACAAAATTATCTATCTCCGTTCGCACATAACTTTACGTTCCGAAAATCGACCCGACAATTTAAATAATTGATTTTTTTTATTTTTAAAGTTCACGTATCTATTTGTGAGGAAATATCAACAGTTGTGGGATTTCATGTCGTCACAGATTTGTTTTATGGCCAGGGAGTAAAATTAGCAACCATTTTAGAACAAGTTCGGGTTTGAAATGAGATGAAAGCATTTACGATTGATCTTTTTTTGCTAAAATGTTTTTGTCAATTTGATCACATCGGCTGCGAGCGTCAGAAAGTAATCGATGAGGCGACGAAGATATTTGACGGAATACATTTAATGGCCCGCAAGTATTTATGATGGTGTGTTTTTGCTTTTAAAGGGAAGCTGACGGTTTTCCTAGGAATCTTCATGCAAAAAACAGGTTAGAAATCACCAACACTTGCATCATTCATTATACATACAGAAATTTCACAAAATCATAATAAAATGCATTGAAAATCTATTTTGCTTTGGGAAAAACGAGCATGGTTTCTAATCGAAAAATTTCACTTAGTAAAAGGATATTTTTACCAAGCTGAATGGAGGATTACTATAGCTAAGTCTGGTAAATGGATCAGTATGCTAATTGCTTAGTGGGTAAAAGGGCTTTAGATTTAACTTGGTCAGTGAAATGATAGCTTCGGGGTTTCAAGTAGGCGAGATTGGTTTTCACAAGGAATCCTTTTTACAATGGGTTGGTTAGGCAGCAAACATACCGCGTGTTTCCTCATGTTAACCATTTGCACTGAATTACGATAAACAGATCAGAAAAAAAACATCTTCAGAACTTGAGAGGACTTTTTAGCAGGCCTCGTGGATTAAAAGGAAAAAAGAACGTAGGGAGCAAAATAATTTCTACTTCCTGTTTGTTACCAAAAAAAGTAAAACAGAGACAATAACAAATCAGAAGAGAAACATTAAAAACAACACATCGCAGCAGGAGTATATTTAAAACCTGATAAGCATATTGGACTCACCACAGCATACTTTTCATAGCAACTAACCATCAGCTAAATTGACCCCCTCCCTTTCTTCCATCGCTAATATGATGGCTTAGAGTGCTTTAATGTTTTCAGCATTTCAAATGAGTTTTCGATAGAGATAATTCAAGCGATAAATCAGAGCTATGGAGTAATTTTCAAGCTATCTTTATTTATTTGCAAACAGATTACTACCGTTGTTTGGAATCTTTATCTTCATAATTCAGTATACTTTTATTTTCACCACAATTTAGTTTGAAAAAATATATATATTTACGAATTAGCTTTCCTCTCTTTTTGTCATTTTCCTTTTCCCAGTCCAATTCTTCTTCCACGGAACAAATGTTGAAATTCTATATTTCCACTTAACTGTGTTAAGCTGCCTTTAATATAAACGCAGATACGTACCATTTTGGATTAATTTTGCCTGGTGTTTTCATCTTTGTTTTGCGTCTGCATTTGAAACTGCCCCTTGTAAAAACTTCACCGTTTGCTTAAACTGCTTTCCGTCACACCGTTTATTGAAAAAAGAAAGAGAGAAAGAGAGAGAAGCAAGTGCTTGTTGGGACACGTGGGCGCTTGAAATGGACGCTACAAAGGAACAGGGAGAGGTAAGTCCCTTACATTATCCTTACTTTCAAGTCTCGCAGATTAAACCAAAATGGCTGGTTGCTGCGCCAGCATACCAATAGCGCAGAAAGTTCCATTTATGACAGTCTTTGCCAAACACTTAGAAGAAAACTAGAACTTATTCTATTTTATTTCTCCTCTGTTATGATTATTTTTTTAAAATTCAAAATGTTTAGTTTTCTCATTGGTAAAAAAATTTTGCTCGTTTTTCAAGAGGAATGCGCAAATTTTAGCTCACCAAAAATTGATAAACTCAGCTGAAATTTCTGAAGTTTCAGCGAATCACTGCTTTTAAACTGTTTCAAAATTAAATATCACTCGACTGAGTTTCTGTTCATTTTAATACGAGATTTGTGTGGGGGTTAACATTTTCTCATGCAAAGTCTTTCTCCCACCCGCGTTGGTCAAAACCATATCTAAATTTTGTACATATTTTCGATTTTGAAAAAGAAGAAGAAGAAGAAGAAGAAGAAGAAGAATAAAATTTTATCTCCCCATGCCAACATTACCAGCACCAGACTTCGGAGTGGATAGTCAAAGGGCGCCGAGTTGCCCACTAGAAGTCTACCCATTAAGTAAACTTGATAATCTTTTTCTTATGGTTTATTTAGTTATTGTTATGATTTTTGTTATTATTTAAGCAAAACTAAATCAAAAAAGAAATCATTGAAAGATTAGAAATGTTGGTGTAGTAGTTGGACAGCAAGAGGTATAAAATTGAAATAGTTTTTTAGAAAAAAGTTTTTAAGTAAAATTCAAAATTTAATGAAACTTTCCAGAAAATTATGAAAAAACAAGATATTTCGAAAACTATAAGGAAACAAAACGACCTCCAACTTTTTTCCGCCATCATTAGCAGGCATAATGCAATTGTCTTACATCATTAAGCCAAATTAGTAAAATTTTTACCAAATGAAAAAAAAATGTGTATCCATGAGTTTTCAAGAATTTTCAAGAAATTGTAAAAAACGCAATACCCAGAAAATTACAAAAAATTGAGATGTCATTCGTCCAGACAAATTTTGCAAATATAGTGCAACTTTCTTGCATCATTTAACTCTATGGGTAAAAGCGTCACAAATTTTAGAAGTTGTTTTAAAGTAAAATACCTGACCTAACAAATAATTGAGGTGTCAAATTTTCAGCCGAGGTTTTATTAATCTTTGAGATTTGCCGAGATTTAAAGGACAAAACTAGATTGTTCGTAATAGTGAATTGATTGATTAGTTGCTTTGATTCTTAGTTACTTGAGATTTAGTTAGTCAGACTTTGACTAAATGAAATAGAACAAATAGAGATTGAATAAACTTTACATCTAACAACGATGTATACAAAACATAAGAGTGATCACACACAGTGTGTCGCTCGGTAAGGCCAATCCGGTGACCTTGAGCAGACTGGTAAATAACTATGCAGCGTGGCTGCAAAAGACAGCAAAATAAATGAGGTACTAAATGTCGCCTCATCACATTCCCCGCGGAAGGGAAAATTTTTGGTGAACCCAAAAATTGTTTAATACATAAATAAATAGACAGCACCCCTAAGCATTATTTTAGATAGCACCCCTATCCCGTAAAATTCATGGTGAAAAGAATAATGTTTAAATACGAAGTTTTGTTAAAAGTTTGAGAGTGAGTGTTTTTTTTTTTTCGATCTTCAGATTTCGTCCTGAGCTTTAACTGGCGAGGATGAAAATGACGCCTCCGGAGAAGTTAAGTGTAAACGGTCCCGAACAAGAGGTTTACGTTTAGGTGACGTGGAGGATGATGGCACTGAAGTGTCTTTTGCGTATGTCTTGGAAGATGGTATAATACTTGTAGAGAATGACAAGTCGGCTTCTTTTCCTAATGATTTGGCTTCTTCCACCGATTTGACCGAGTGCCGTAACGGGTCGCCGAAAAATCTTGTGGCCTTTTTGTTTCGAGATGAGGCCCGAGTGCCTTCCAGATCATCCGTAGTCGGTTGAGCTGGGAGAGAAAGAGAAAGGAGCGACGAATATTGGTCTGCCTGGGCGCCTTTTCCTTGGACAATAGGACTCTCGGAATCAACCACGTCCAGTGGTACTTGATGCGAACCAGCAACCCAAGTTGTGGACTCAGCAGGCTGAATGGTGAGCGGGGGGTCGACACTAGTATCCATAGAAGATGGGCCCGGTGTGAGGGACGAGCTGCCAAACGTAACCGGTTGTGATTCGTCGTGTAGCCGTAATCGCTTTTCCATCGGAGTAGATGTCCGAGTTTCATGCAAAGCGTGCTGAACGGGAGGGCTCTCACTAGATGAAACCGCAGTAAGGTCCACCACCGCCGGGTATGACGCGCTCGTGTTAGCTGGCCGTTTTTTGAGCAATTTTGGGTTAGATGCGCGAGTAAATGGTTTCTTCCCCCCACTTTTTGAAGATGAAGTTTGGAGCCGATCACCTAGTGTGTTGTATGTTGCTGAAATGTTATTATAATTAGGCTTAAGACAGACATGATTTTTCCGATACACCTTTCCCTTGTCGGTAACATATGTATGATCGGTGACACGAGTAATTTTGAATTTTGCGAGTTTAAAAAGAGGTTTGCCAGACTGACGATCTATAATTTTTCTAAACACTCTCACACGTGTAGGATCGGATAAAAGGAGAGTTTCTAGTTTACTTGTCTTAGACGGTCGACGGGGTTGAAGTGTCGGTAGACGGCGAACAGTATCTTGGGCCTCTGGAGGCGTATTGAATGACCGGTCTTCCGCAAAGTATAGTGTTTTGCGAGAGAGGCCTGTTTTTAGTGACTGAGCCAGATCCGAATGGCGACTCGACAGCTCCTGTAGCACCCGTTTTCCCCCATCTGGTGGAAGATTTCGTTTCTGTTGAGACCAGTTATTAGCCGCCCGGGCAAGATCGGCCAGCGCCTTGTACGGCGCACTGTCGGCAATGTTTCCCTCCAGAGAGAACATTGGGTTGAACCGTGGGGAAATCTGAGGACTGAGACTGCCTCTTGGCACCACTTTGGCACGATCTCGACTATAGTCCTGACTGGCAATTTGATCCGGCGTCAAGAGGTTGCGTTCAAGTCTTTGTGCTGAAGTATCAGAATTAACTATATTATGAAAAGCTTGTGACCATTCAGTATTGGGTTTACGTCCGAAGTGCATTTCAAAAGGTGACTTCTTAAGTGTAGAATGATTGCTTTTACGGATATCTTCTATAATTCGATAGAGTACTTCTTTCAAGTTACCGAAAGTAGGATCCAGTTGTTCAGTGCCTAACTTGCGTTTTATTGTTTGTATCGTACGTTCGACGAGGCCAGAGCCCCGATGGTCTCCGACTGGGGAAAAGATGTGTTTGATACTTTTACTAGAACAGAATTGTTGTAATTTTTCGTTTTTAAAACCGGAGCCATGATCAGTCCTGATATAATGAGATAAGCCATGAATTCGGATATAAGATTCAAGAAATTTCGTAACCTTTTTAGCCCCAGTAGTTTTTGTAATAAGTACAGAAGGAAATTTCGAGAAACGATCGATAGCTACCAAGAGGAATTTTTTTACGCCTCTATCATCTACAATAGGACCGGCAAAATCTAACTGTAACTCCTGATTAGGCCCCGTTAACAAGGGCAAAGATTGAGCGGTATGAAAAGTCTTGACGGGCTTTAAGTTCTTACCATACAACGTGCATTCGCGGCATCTTTCGCAGGTGTCGACTATCTGCCGATTCATAAATGGCCACCAAATGTATTCAGAGGCTGACATCATGACCTCTTGACCCGGGTGCGACCGATGAAGGCGGGCAAGAACAGCTGGTCTCAGGACTTCTGGGATGGCCAGTTTGTTGTCAATTATCACACAGTTGTTGACAACCGCTGCTTTCGACCAGAATTGGGCCATGTAGGTTCCGAGTTTGTTAAAACTGGAAACGTCTTTGTTATTGATGGCCCGTTTCATCGGACCCAGAAATCTATCTTCTTCTGTGAGCTCGGCTAGCAAGTCAGCGTCGAATAATCCCGGTAGTCCCACAATTTCTTTCTTGGACTTGGAGATGATAGGTTTTCCACCATTGATTGCATACACGCCAACTTTATCAGCAGAATGAGCTCTGCCCGGTCTTGACAATCGGCACTTCCGCATAGCCTCCAAAAGCTGGTTGTGTCCCTCCCTTCTGGAGACAGTCCTGGCAGCAACAAATCGGGTTTTCGCCGCACGCTCTCTGGTCCGATTGCGTTGACGTACCTGGTCCAGTCGTGAGATTCGTCCTACTTGACGAGATCTTACTGAAGGGCGCGGGATCGGCCGTCGAAAATTAGGTGAACTCAATGTGAAGTTTTCGACCAAAAGAGAGGAGTTCTGCTTGTTCCTCCATTGTGCTATGTGATGAGTGTTGTATCGGATTGTGAGCTGGTTGAGTAGTTGGTTTGTCGTTAGTATGTTCAAGAGCGGAATGTGGTAGTGAAGTAGGTTTTGAGGGATTCATGTTGTTGTAGATAGAGAAGTGAGATAAAAGAGAATTAGTAGAATGAGTTAAAGATGAGAAGAAAGAGTTGCGACTATCTTTTAACAATTCAGGTCGGAGACAATGAATTGAAGCAAGCGAATTTGGTTTGAGATTATTAATTAGCATACCGGTTTCTGATTGGTCAATTCTGCAACAACATGACTCGACGCCCTCACGCGGTGAGAGACCGAACGCGCGAATTTGCATAACGTGATTTGATTGGTCGAGAAAACACTTTGATTTATGAATTTGAGGCACATCGACCTCTTGCGACGAAGAACATAACTTAATAGACGAGTCAAGTATATTAAATGTATTTATAAATGATAAGGCCGAATTGAATGCCTCAATAGACTTTACAACAAAAAGTTCATCGTAGATTGATGGCGCTGGAGCTGGGAACGTTGGATGTCGAGACAGATAATCCACAATGCCTAAAGTAACCCCAGGCACGTGAATAACTTCGAAATCGAATGGTAATAACCCGTCCGCCCAACGTGAAAGACGCGA